GTTTTATCTTATGTGACAAAAACTTCAACAAATTTAATATTCTTTGATTTTAACGCACTAAAATATTCTTTAGTATCTTTCTTTTACTTTAATCTTAAAGTGCAAGTTAATTAAATTTCAAAATGTTGCTTAATCGTTTCCCTTAAGAAAGTATTAATAAACATCGATGCGTGTATTAAATATCTCAAGCTCGAACTAAATATCTAAAAGGAGATGACGAGCAAACCAATTGTTACTGACAACAAGAGTTAGCCAATTCGTATTTTTAAACTCGAGTAACTTCATCGCTGGCCTCAATTACTGGGCTCGAGATTTTAACCCTTAGCATGCTCATACTCTAACAGCAATTGTGCTCTGAACACCGAGTTTTAGTTTCTACCTAAATATCAGCCATAGCCATAACACTAAATAAGCTTCCAAATGTTTAATTTAATTGAAATCAAAATTACTGCAACTTGATGGAGCATATAAAAATCACTGCAAAAAATTTAATGAAAATAAATATATTTGGTATAAAATTTGAGAAAAATAAAAATATTCATCTTTACTTAAAAAAAGAGGAGTATTGAATGGAAATGTATTATTAAAATATATAATATCAAAATATTAAGTATCAAATACCGTCTACGTGAACTGCGGTTCAAATAACGTAATGGGAATCAAGAAGTGGCATACTACTCTATAAAACATGGCATCGAGTGTCATTCCCTTCCACGAAATCTTGATGTTCCCGAGAAATTTTTAATTCTAACGTAGATTCCATGACACTTTCAAACAAACTTGCACGCGCGTATACGGTTAATGTCAAGGACAAACCAAAGACAGAACGAGTCTACATGAATTATTAGGATGCAGTATAACCAACGACGTAAGAACCTTCGAGATCGTAATAGCACGTGCTTTTAAAGCAGTGTACATAAATTTGTGTGTAATAGACACATCGTGGCGAAAGTGACTGAAATATTTACACAGACCAAGGTCAATCGATAATGGTGAATTTCTCCTTGTATCTTGTGTGCTTCTGTGATACTCATTTCCCGATATCAACGATAATAAGCTAAGCCAATTTTCGATCCGAGTTACTCGCGAAAAATGCATACGAAGTAAAACTAAAATTAAAAAACAATTTGAAAAAATGCATACAAAGTAAAAATAAAATTTGAAAAAAATTTGAAAAAAATGTCTAACTTCAAATAAAAAAAATTATTGGAAAAGTTTTGATAAGAAATTATTAAGAAAATTATAAAAATAAAAATTGGAAAGATGAAAGGATAATATAAAAAAATGAGTAAACGCAAAAATGAGAAAATAGCGAATATGATAAAAAGCAGCTTTTTCATAGTCAAATAGAAAGTAGAATGGATACACTGGCGTAAAATATGAATATGCAAACTGAAACGTTAAAATCAACTCGAGGAGATCCGGAAGCGTCTCCAAGAGAGTTCAAAGACCTTTTAAACAAAAATAATTGCACTCTAAATGAGCGTTGGAAAGCAGTCCAAGAAGTGGTTATTGTGATTAATAGTGGACATTGGTTAAGCAAGTACGCTGTATTTAGTACTCATGTAAAGTACTCTATTAAAGACGAGATGTTAGAGAACGACATTATAGTAAAAATAAAATCGCACTTTTTTTTTAAATAGACAATATAGAAAATCATTATATCTATTATACTTGAAGGAAACCTGGCTAAATTTATCGAGTCAACGTCATTCGGCTAAATCTAAATTTACGCTAGACATTTTCATTGATATCCTTTTATCTAAGTATAGTAATCGCGAAAGGTTTCCCTTATCCGATTATATGAAGGAAAGCGTAATTTTCATTCACCGTAAAATTAACGAGTAAAAGAGTTAAATATCATGAGTGCAACACGTGAGAAAAGAAGATAACGCGAATCGATATTGATACTCTGTTATACATAGTCGATCGTGATTAACTGTACCTATACTGTTAGCAGCATCGTTCTACGTGCAGGCCACATCCGGGAAAGGAGAAATGCACTACTCGATAATACATTTTCAGTCAAATTGAGTTTTGTACCATAGAATTATAGTGGGATTAAGAATAAAATATAAAAATCCGTATTTCCGTTATTTACGATAAAAATATTATATATAAGCTAATTATTGTAATAAGAAAAATGTAATGAAAATACAACGAAAAGTATCGAATATATTTTATAACCTATATCTACAGTTTGTATTAGTACGAACATTTGCCCCATGACGCCATTTTAAAAAGATTGGTAAAACAGGCATCTGTAATGCTTAAATTTGCATTTACCCATGAAACAATTGTTACGATTAATAATTACTACGTTAATTACGCTAATTATAGCGTCTTAGGGGTTATTCAAAAACTCAACACGCGATCGAATAAGATATACCAGCTTGTATACGTGTGTCGCGAGGAATCGATCAAAGAAACGTCGGCAGACAGGCGTGCATTCCGGTTCTGTAATTGTATGCATACGTTCATGTATGCACGCAAACGAACGTGAACGACGCGTTCCTTGCACGCAGAGCCCCGATCGGGAGACCGCCAACTATCAATTTCCGTTTTGAATTACCAAACGCCGTAACGCATGCACGCGCCGCTCAAACGAATCTCCGGTCTTCTCTGGCATAACGAGTCTCCGACTAAGGAACGCATCGATGCACTTTTCTTTGTTAATAAGACACCTCCATCTTCTCCCTATAGATTTTCGACCGACGATAAGCTAGTTCGCACGGTCCGAATCATATCGAATTTTTAACGGTCGCCATCTCTTGGACTTCGTTGAAAGCAGATTTGCTTTGGTGTAATGGCGATTACCATAAAGGTTCTGTGAGGTTTAAGATCTAAAAAGTTTAAACTACAAACTTTCAAAGTGGCCGATATTAAATTAAGATTCTAAATGAATATACTGACCAATTTCTTCCCAAATTTGAGGTTATGCACTGACATATTAGTCATGATAACTCTCACTCTACGGGTGTTACGAATTTATTAAAAATTCTACTTTACCGGTTGATTGCAAGGACGTGAAAATATCTATTGTCAAGAAAGGTTAAAAATTTAATTTCAGTAGATTACCAAAAAGATAAGAAACATAAGATATTAATGTTTTTTGTACTTGTTGTTTAGCGTTTCATTTTTATTGAACAAATGATATTTTACTTGCGAACCTGTTAAAAATGGAGACTCGAAAAAACGCTGTCCGAATGAAGAATTTGAGAAGCACTGGGCATCCCTGGCCTTACGTAATCATGCTGCACCCACTCGTTTTACTGTACTGTGGTCTGACCGTAATCTGTCAATTTACTTTTGACAGTATTCCCGCAACGGAAATCCGATGCAACGCACCTTACGATTTGCATATTCGATACATTTTCAAATCATCGAATTTGAAACCGTTCATCAAGGTGATGGGAGTTGGAAAATTGCGTAACGATTAGGATTAACCGGAAACGAAATCGCGTTGTGCTCGAATCTTTTCTGAAAACGTTCCAATCGATTCATTCTTGTCTATCTATTATACTAATAAAGAATCAATTAAAAAATGTATACATATTGAGTTGATATCAATATTATACATTAAACAATAATTTTACTAATTTGTACATATAATTACATAATTATTTTTCATTTATTTTTCATATATAAATGACAAGTAAAAATATGAATTTAAGAACTTTGTTCTACTTTGAAATATTTTTTAAATTTGTTAATTATATGATTGATAATATTTAAAACTGAACATATTAATTTTCTCTTATATAAAGTTAATACCAATAACCTTTAGAAATGAATATTTTTTGTGTCAAAAAGGAAGACCAAGATGTAATACAATATTATTGAAGCCTGTGAAGTAAAATCGATAGTAATGCGGATAAAATGATAGTAAATTATCAATTTTGAGACTTAGTTTACAATTGTTACATTTTTTGAACTATTAATTAATTTCGAGTAATTCAGATATTTATATATATAAAATTTTACTGTTAAATATACATATTTTAATTTAACTATAGATTTTTATTTCTCTTGGGTAAAATAATACATAACCTTGAAACACGAGAAGAGAAGCCATTTCGTGTTTTTTTAGCAAGTCTAAATTTAACACACTCAGTTATAAATTATATGGTATTTCTCACAAAATGAAGATTAATGATTTCATTGAAATGTACAATCACACGACACAAAAGCCACCATCTTGTATTATCCTAGCATACATTCATTCGTAAAAATTATATACTATATACGTTTTCCTTATCCTATTGAATATTGTATCATTAATTATTGGGCAATTATTTTGAGAGATTGAATGTGGGTAATACAACTTGCTCTGTATGGTAAAGCGAATTATTATCCGCCATTTCATTCGTTGGAAATATACCATGATATAACATAATATTGAAATGATTCGTATTTTTGATTCTTGTATTTTAATGTTTAAAAAATTGAGTTATTAATTTTATTGGTAGCAGAAATCATGTTAATTGTGTTCTAAAAACTATTTCGCATTTTACATCATAAATAAACTATTTAGTTACACCGGATTGGTATATTTGATCGATCTTTGCCTAACCTAAAAACCGGTATAACATAAGGAATAACGTAGTATTGCCACTGGGTAATCAATTATTGACTGAATCATACATTATTTCCTAAATACGCGGCATACTATGTTAAAATTTTATATTGCTTTACTGAACTCAAACAATAGTACTGTGAGAACAAGTCGTGCCGATCTCCAACGGTCGCGACAGTTCATTGTGTAACTGTTTACTTGCTACCGAATCCTCAAATATTTCTCATTCAATATATTTTCTTTATAGGTATTCTCCATATTTAAGGCGATATAAGTGAATAATATTCAAACAATTACAGAAAAAAATATCTCATTGACCGGTGAAAAAATATTTTAATTTTCCATTTTGGTCGGCATGACTTTCACAGTATGTTTAGAAAATAAAGTTTCACATTTCATAAGAAGCAATGGAAAGATTGCTTACCTTTAGCAGACAAAAGAAAATCGAAGGATGTGTTCTGAGTTAGTCCTCGGGGCACGTCGTACGCGGACACGAGTCGGAAACGAAGTGGCGCGGAATCAACTCGCCTCGCGACAGCCGAGAACCTCTCCTCTCTGCCTCAGCCAATCACATCCCTCCTTTGTACATATCCCTTCCTCGCCCCTCGGTCCTCTCCCAGGGACGGTCCGCGGTCCAGCCACGTTCCTTCGTTCCGTTGTTTCTACGAGGACTCCTCGGTTGCTACCTCGATTTTTTTCGTCCTAATTATTATCCTCCGCTGCATTCTTGCGGAAACAAACGAAACCATTGCAGACAATCGAATATGTGGTAAGTTTTAGGTATCTTCAGTAATCAAACCTCGATAGAATGTTTATATTTGGATTTATGACTATATTCGAAACTTGCAAAAATTGTGAACGAGCTGTGAAGGTTACAGACGATTATATATATTTACGATGGTTTTATACAGACGCTTTGAAGTAATTTTTGGTAGGTAATTATGAAATGTAAGGACAGTATAGGAATATTGAGTATAGGAACTGCCTAGTATATATCCTTTAGTAATATTCGACAATTTCAAGACAACGATTGAGAACGATTGATATCGATACTCGAATCGATGAGATCGGAAGCGATACGAGACAAGTTCAGTTACCTCGACTTCAAGGAAAAGACTACGCGAAAAGTTGAACGTTCGTTTCTTAAAAGAAATATAAGATATACATGAAAATAAATCTTATAAGTCCTGTTTTGTGAAAATTAATAAAATAATAGAATTTTAAACAACTAGCAGCAATAAATTTCATTATGTATTTTTATGGTCTTTTTTATCTGAAAAATATATTAATTTTTACAATCTTTTAATCCTTTTTACGCTATCAATGTAAAGCAAAATATTTGCTATATTTTTCAGTAGGCGATGCAGTACAATGTGCATAATCGATAATCGATCTCGTTTAATTACACGATCGACATATCGAAGTCAATGGCCTCGAAACAAAGAACCAACACAAAAAGAAGATAACTATTCAATTGTTAGCCGCCTTGAAAAGTACAACAGAAGCTTCTTGATGTTCTTTTAAATAAAAATTAAACAAAGCTTATTTTATAATTCAATTCTAATCAATTTCAAATGAAATGTTTATAATTGAATTTGAAATTTAGTTTTAGTTAACCAAAATTTATTGTTTCGTGAGGAATAATAAAGAGGAAGGAAAATGAAAGGTAACTAATGTACAATATATATTTTAGAATTAGAAAAATAATCAGAATGTCCTCGGTAGGGGAACAAGGTCTCGATCTTATGAATCATAGTGTTGGTAAAGCGTATTCAGGGCGTTCTTTCTCCGTTCGCGCAAAAACGAGCAGCGAAGTTCAGTGATCTGAAAAACGGTTGCGACCAACTTTCGAAGAATTTCCAAATGATCGAGTTACAGTGAAACATGTTCGTGTTATCTATGCTCTTTATGCTTATTAAGTGTGTTAATCAGACATTGTACAAGTGTAAATGTAACGGTCTATAAATAACGGATGCCATATTCCCACCTGAGGTTCTTCAGCCGATTATGACGTCGTGTTTGTCGACCGTGACACAACACGCGTGTAAAAACACGTAATCTTCTTTTGGCGTCTGCGTCCATTTAATTCTGCTGTCCCCCTGCGCATTCTGAGACCATATAAATGACGTCACCTGGAAACATTATCAGTTCCTTTGCATGTACCATTATTTATTTCAAAGGATTTATATGATGCATTAATATGTACAAAATTTTATTTTAACGAAACAAATACTAAAAATAATTAATTTCATTGGAAAAGTTTAGTCTTTAACATTAAAAATCTATTTGTAAGTTCGTGACACATTATACATCACATATGTTACCATTAATCTATAATTCGTTTCAAATTTTATTTTTTTAGAATTGCTATTTTTTTTTAGCAATTAAACATTTTACAATTTCTTACTTTGTTTTGAAGTTGTACTAAAGTACATATTTAATTTTTGAAGGAATAGAATTTTTTAATAAGTATTAAATTGAATTAGATTATTATTATTGAGCAAGACTAATATGTTAACTTTGCTTCAGATGTTTTAACAATATTCTGCTGCAATATTTCCACCTGACTTTCAATTTCTGTCAAATATTCGACTTACTCGGGACCCGAACCCGTTAAGCTTTACATTAAACCAAGTATATTATTAGATAAGTATAATAACTTTTAAATATAAAATTTATAACAGTTTTGATTGATATTCATATTTCAATACGTATTTGCAATTTCTACGTTATTTATTGAACTTTCAGAATGTTTCGCTGTCGATCGGTCCATTTCCGCATTGTTCCTTGAATTTTCCAGAATATATAGATCATGGAGCGTTTCCGGAGAACGGTGGAACTCCGGGAGTGTCGCCTGGCCGTTACGAAATCAGCTGTGCGCCTGTCGGTGCTTGTTGTAGGTCGCGTTCAGGACTCCCCTCGGCCTCCCTTCTGCTCTAGTCCTCTCATTCTATCCAACAAGCTAGGAGATAGAGGAGAGGGGATATTAAAGGTCGCCTCAACGTGGAGATCAATACGAAACCTACATACCTACCTTCCCTATCGAGCCAATGGGAATGTCCAAAATGATCCTTCTTCTCGAATTTATCTATCTCTTTCTAATTGAGGTAACCAATTTATTAGTTATCATCTTAACAGAAACATAATTTAACTATGATCTATCTTACATTTGTTAATTGTTTTCTTTTGTTTATATTCAGCAATTTATTACAATTATATGCACTGCTTTTATGAGTATTAGATGTTCCTAATAATATACGTACATAAATAAATGCATATATATATATATATATATATATATATATATATATATTAAATATTTTAATATAGTGTTT